ATGGATCGGATAAGAGTCCACGCCACTTGCTAAAGCGGCGGCAGCTGTTAACCCAGATCGAGGAATTCGGATTTCACGCTGGCATTGAATGGGCCCATTGATGCGCGTGTTTCATCTGGCTAAACGAAACAAGTCGCTTGGTTCTTTTATTTTCTTTTTTTCCCCTCTAGTTACCGTCCATGTCGGAACATCTGACGTCCTGCCAGGATATAGGAGAAAAACCAAGGGAGTAAAAATTAACCGAGTCATTTATCACTCGCTAGAAGTTCTATCAATAAGTCACGTCGGACGGCTCTATCTACTTAGATCGATGCTAAGTTTGCAATGATCTTGGGCCGTGTTGGGAGGGAAAAGTAAACCGACACTCAAGTTGGGTTGGGGTCACGCGTTAATCACCCTCAGATTTAATGATTTTTTTTCCTTTCTCGAGGGTAATCGATCTGTCGCGAGGAAAGTTTGCTCCACACCTGAGAAATTGCGTTATTTAAAATATTCACGAAGCATTCGGGTCCTGTTATACGTCGCGCCTGTTGGTCGATTCTTTTTCTTAACATGCTAATCAGGCGATTTTTCAGTCATGATTGCCTATGTACAAGCAGTGAAATTTTGAATAAAATTATCGAGATACGTGTTCCCTGACGCACGATAATCGTGTATAAGTTATACAGAAATTAACAGAGGCAATTATCGGCACACAGAATTAAGTATTCTTGGAAAATATACGTCAGCAGATTAACCCTCCGCGACCCCCCTTATTTTTATTTCTTCCGTCATCCTCTGGGCTTTTTATATCCAAACTTATTTATTTTATAGAATTCCAAAAAATCTGAAAAAAATTCCAGGTTTCTTCCCAGGGTCTTTATTACACGATCCAATAGCTTTTAAAATTGGATGTTAAAAGTTTGTTTAATAACAATCTCTTCGTTTCAAAGAAATTTCGCTTGTGTCATAAAAGACCCAGGGAGGGTCTCGGAGGGTTAATAAAAGCAACCAGCGTTTAAAATTAAAAGAGTACTACAAAATTATAACTTATAAAGTCTGCAGTGAATATTTTCCAAATAAGGAATAGCCTCATTAAACAGAAACATTTTTATTAATTTAACGCGGCCAAGTGTACTAACCAAAACGTTTTACAGAAACGTTGAAAGAAGTCCTGAATAATTCCACAAAACAGCTCTCGTTTCACGTGTCCAGAAAAGTAACGTGGCCGCTCTCTTTAAAGACGCCGCGGGCTGTTTAATTAGCGAGACTTTTCGCGAACAGGAGGGAACAATAGCTGTAGATCCAGCGTGATTCGTCGAGGCGAACCAAAGGCGATTGCGTGTGGCGGTATCGCGTTGAAATTCGAACTTTGGAGGAAGATGTTCCCGCCCATCCGCGAAGTACCATGGAACAACCTGCGGCCTCAAGGGGATAAACGATGGGGGGTGTACTTGTGGTTAATTAGAGAGCTTCGAGTCGAGTGGAAGGCACTCTGTGCGAATGTATCTTCAACGAAATTTGTCCCCACTGTGTGCCGGATTGTCACGCCCTTTTATCACTGTCTAATTACCATTAAAAGCAACCACCCCCCACCCTCCGCGCAACTAACGGCTTCTCTTCACGGTACATCTCAACCACGTTGTCACACTGACATCCTTCATTCGAATTGCAAAGTGGTTCAAAGTGGAGAAATTAAAATTTTCTCACCTGTACACTTGTTTCTTGAAGCTGGATTTTTTCTGGTTTCTTTTTAAGGGTTGAAAGGGGGGGTGAACGTTGAGCTTCCAGTCGGCAGAACGACAGCGTTCGGCGTTCTGTTTCCGTTCCACGACGTTCACGGCACGAAGGGCGGCATGCTACTGCCCGAATCATCCCCGTTTCACCCCCTACTCACCCCATTATTAGGGCGACGGTAGCGCGGCTACGTGGTGAATTCGACGACTATGGTAGGCGTTCGCTGCAGTCCAATCTGCAGAGGTCTCATGTTACTTTTCTTCTTGTTTTTTTTTTGTATTTTCGTTTATCTTTGTGCTGTTCGTTTCGAGGTCAACCCCACCGAAACAACCCCGTGTATTGGTAAACACATTTTCCTTTTTTAATTCCGTGCACCTATTTCTCGAAATATGTTGGGCCGATCTAAGCAGGCGAAGAATTTTATTATATAAATCATTTAGCACCAGTTGCACATAGACTGGTTACTTTAAAGCGAGTGCACCGTCCTGGGGATGAATCTTCGGCAGGATGCTTTCACGGCGATTGAGGGAGAGGGGTGAGAGTAATTATTTATTCATCGATCGGGAAAGCTTACTTTTTTAAATTCTCGAATACTCGAAGATTACGACGGTGTTCTTTCATGAAATGTATATCAGATTGCGCTGTAACTTGAATCATTCACGAGCGAAGTAGCTCCGAGATGGGAACCGTTCGATACAGGCACTTTGGAGAGATTATTTTAATTATCACGCCAGTTCAGGAGTCCTTGCATTTAGAATTTTCTTCCGAAATCATTTAAGATGCTTACACAATCTGTGGATGAGTAATAATTTCTCAATGTTTTTGTCTCGAACTGGAAATTATCTGACGTGAACCTTGTTACCGAGAAATTTCCAAGAAATACATATTATACTTGCGGAGTTTATGATAATGTTTTGATTCAGGTATGTATTTTATGGACCTTAGCGATGATATGTATTATATAATTAGACTTCAGATTTTATGCAATTATGGGCTATATAAACTCGTGGTTCTCGATTTTCGAGTCGCGTCTCTTCAGAAAAGTCCTGATCCTCATTATTTCACTCGTGTAATGACAAGTTTCCAGAGGATTGCTCGGTGATCGAAAGTAAATCACAGGGAGCTGCCACGGGTTCGCGTGTGTTTGCATTATCATGCCCGTCCATTGTTTGGCCGGGTTCTGAAATTGAATTTCTGAGTACCGAAACGATGCGTCGCTTTGTGCTTGCCGACGCGACGGTAAAATTGAAAAATAAATCCCGTAAATATTACGTTTTACCCGTTGAGGTCCTTTGTGCTTTTTGGCCGGAAGAGGATACTCGATCGAGAAACACAATGTAAAGGGCGTCCCGGAATTTCTTTTTCAATCTGCTACGCGAAATAACGATCGCGCGTGACTTTGGGTTGGACAGACGATTTTCCGTGAGAATTTCGCGTGGACCGAGCTCTTGAAGGGGGTACAATGCGCAGAAATTTCTGGTGGGACACACTAACAGCTTCCGCCGTATTTCACGGCGAACGTTCATCTGGTTATGCATTATCGCGCGGAATATTCGCGCGATCCAAGAGAAGTTGCATTTTTACGCCGTAACCCCTGCGATTTATCGCCGTGTCCCAATAACCGTTTCTTAGTTCACGTTCACGACCTTCTTATTACCCTTAAATTTAAAAAATTCTCGAGGAGTCTTCAAACACTTATCGATAGTTTACTGTATTTGGAATCATAAAATTTGTTTGGGATACCTATAAGATTATTAGATGCATTTACAAAAAAATTAATTTTTTGTATAAATCACTTTCGATCATTACAATTTTTTTTCGTCGAAATAATGAAAAGATGAGGACTACTCGTTTATACCGTGTAGCTTTAAGCAACCTTAATTGCATTTCTGGGAAGAGGAAATAATATCGGAAGTCGGTCACGTTCTATTTAAGACGTGTTCCACGTAGTCCACGATTAAGTACCGTTTTGATATCCTCTTCCAGGTATCTTGACAGAGATAATAATATTCCTTTCTCTTAAAATCACCCTGTATATGTAAAACCTTGACTTATTGATTAAATATTTACAGCACACGATTTTATGCGCTTTCTCGTTGAAATCTACATTTTTTGGTAAAACAGTTCCACCGTTTAGAATTTTTAGTTTCTGAAAAAGGAACTTCTAACCGTTGTTGAACAATTTTACACTCAATTTACAAGACATTGCTCGTCGAGGATCGTTGAGACAAAGGTCCCAACACCTTCGACAACTTTTCTACACGGTTTCCAGCCACCGCAAACGACCGTAGCCACCGGTGAGCCAACTAATCCGCCGCAAGGAAAACAGCAATCGTCTTAAGTGACCAAAGTACTGCTGGAACTGACCCCCTCGGCAAACAGAGGAAATTTGCCCAGGGATCTCGGATTACTCGAGTCTTAATTCGCCGCGAGATACTGCAGACTCCTTCGCCGGCTGGTATCGTCTTCTCGAATTTCGGGTTTGTTTGCGACGCGTTGCGGAAGCATAAACCGAAACAAAGCCGGGTGTCGCGAGAACAAGGAGAAACTCGTGCGCCAGAATATTGCTTTAAGTCGTAACGCTGCGCGATACCGGGACATCCGGTCAGAAAATACGATTTGACCGTGTTATATCTAACCCTGAACGATCTCCAGGTGTTCAGGGAGAAAATTAGTCTGGGAAAATATGGCGATTAACACCGCTGCTATTTGTATTGCAGAAACTTCCGTCTTGTGGTTACTGCTGATATTAATGGGGTTAGTATAGTATGTTGAATGTCAATTTATTCAGATAAAAATGACACGAATTCCTATACGGACTTCAGAAATTAATAATAAGTAAAGTTTTATTATGTAATCGTCACAGTTTTTTATTTGTGTATTAATATTATCTCACAGTCTTATTAAATACACTGAAAAGGTGTGTTCGAAATGCGCTAGAAACTAGAAAATAATTTCTATTTTTATTATTTGTACAGAAATGCAACAATGGTTGAGAAAACTTATTTTCTCTTACCAAATAGCATATTAATACTAATCAATACTAATTAGAGAAATTAAGTTGTCTAACCGATTTTTACGTTTCTGTATAAATCACAAGAATAGAAATTAATTTCTACTTTTTAGTGCGTCTCGAAGTCGGTCCACATTTTTTTTTAACAGAATTTGTTTTCATCGAATATGTTTCTTGGAAAACACCACTTGTTCTAGTTGTTCATAAATTCTACGATTCACGAATTAATTCAGCTACATTCCGTTTATTTATGAGACTCTTCACTTTATACTCATACGAGCTCCTCTAGCCAGTCGCTTTCATAAACGTCGTTTCCATCTGGAGCCTGGAACTTGAGACTCCCGTCTTTCCCACCGAACACGAAATTTTTCGGTCCGTTTATGCCGGGGAGTTCATTCTGCAGAAAGACATATTTACATTTTCGTGACACATAATTGTGATCTACGATCATCGAGGGGCTTAATTTGTTCTTGTTTCTCTGTGAATCTATACTCACCGCTTCACGGAGTCGATTGTACTGGTGATTGTATATTCTAGGCCCGTTTTTACGATACTCTGGCATTTCCATCGTCCCATGTAGAACCAACGCGATCGTTCCGATTGTCCCATTATTCTCTTTTGGGCCGATCTGTTAAGATGCAGGTAAATTACAATCACTGATACGTGGACGCGTTTATCAGGACGATTTATAAGACGGAATAAATTCAACGGGAGGGGAAAAAGTATCGGGCTGGTTGGGATCTATAGCGAATTTTCTTGGGGGAATTAATCACCTCGTCGAGGATGTCGAGGACCCAGCAGCCGCGTGGATCTTCCCCCCAAGATGCAACAGACATAAATTTCCATTTCTCGAAACCGGCGGGCGAGTCGTCCAATTTTCGTGGCTTCAGTATCTGTACCGTCGTCCCTTAGAGATAAAAAAGAAACAAGTGAAGACATTAACAACCATCCCTCCACTTCTGACAATTTTCTGTGGGGAAACAGTGGTTAGCCGCGGACACTTACATGGAACATAAAAACAATATATAATCAATAAATTCTAATCAAATTACTCTTTCAGAAAATAAATCGAACCCCTCTGAAGAAAATGGATAATACTGTAAATCCTGGATGAGTGTCCGAAAGTTCCTCGCTGACTTTTGAATGCGATTTAGCAGTTTAAAATTCTGAAGCCAATGATATTTGCTTCAGCCACATATTGCCAATTAGTATATGAAATATTTAATGTTCAGTGCCGAGGAGCCTTCTGACATTAATCGCGAATTTACTGTATTAACTTGCAATTGTTTCTAGGCTCGGACTGACATGGTGTAATCTTCATTTATTTTTCTACATGGTTTAGTAACGAAGATACTGAATTGTCCAGGGCTATCCGCCTTTCCCTTAGTCAGCTTTTTTTTTCTATCCTCAAATAAACGATTCAATATTGAAGAGGACGCGAAATCTCGTTTCCCCGGGAACAAAGGTCGGAAAATTGTCCAGTCCCCAGTTTCCGTTCGACCGAAATTCCGTTTCAGTGGGCCTCCGGTGTTTTTCGATTATTCCCTCCCCCGTTGCGTCAACGCACGTAACACTGACTATTAATATAACAGGCAACCCGTCTGCGTGCACGGAATCGAAAGTAGCCGCACAATGTATCGAGTCGTCGAATTTCGCATCGAGAGCCACGAATTAGCTCGATTGAGTTTCTGTTGGTTCCCGAAACCGGTCGTAATCCTTCCGTTTTATACGTACACGGCTTTTCCTCTAATCCCAATTTGCCCCCGGCAGGAAGAACTGGTATCGAATAACCGGGGAAATCGTCTAATCGAGGGGCAAGTCAAGAGCACGGTTAAGTGCACCTGCGAACTGCATTCGTAGAAGGAAGTTCTGTTTCCCTGGAATGTCCTCTTTTACGAACATATTCCACTTGATTTCCATCATGGCCAGAGAGCTATGTTAACCCTCTAATGGTAAGGGTCTGGGTCCAATCAAACCATAGTTCTTCTTGTGCTGTCCCCACTCTACTTTTTATTATTCTCGTTTTCAAATATTTTTAATTATTTAGTAAACTTTTTATACTATTATATGTCATATAATTCAACTATTATTCCTTATCATATAAATAAAGAAAAATCCAAGTTTAAGATAATTTTTTTTTACCCGTCTGAAAATAGCAAAAAGGAACTCTGGTAAGATTCGATCCACCTTACCAAGTACGACCTTAAAATCCACCTTACCATTCGAGGGTTAATGTGCCCTTACTCTGAAATTTTTAAACGCATACGAGACAACACGCTGACGGCATGGAAAATACACGCGGCGCGAGAATTTGATTTCTCTGTTCGAGGTAAATTGCTCCTCCGAAAAACGGACTAGGTTGCAGAATCATAAATCTACAAAGTGCACAGACTGTTCCACCTGGCTTCAGAGTGGTTGACACGACGCGAAATCGATTTCAAGGGGTGACGCGTATACCTACCACGGTCCCATCTGTGTACACCGTAAAAATGTTATTTCCATGACGTTTCCTTATATGTGGCGTGTGTTCCGTTCTTATAAAATCGGTTCCACGCGGTGATAAATATTGTATATGACAGAACGAAGCAGATATTTCGAGTGTTTCACGAGCACACGATAGGATCTTTTAGCGAGCGGTGTATAAAATTTTATTCTGAATGCTGTATAGAATAAACACAGAACACCTGAGAAGAAAGTGATATAATTAGCATATACGAGCAGAAACATTGGCTGCAAAGTTGCTCTGTAAAAGTGATGCAATCACTGCCATTTTGTATGAAAAAAATATTTTGTTACATTTAAATGATTTGATTTCCAATTTACTTTATTGTATTTCCAGAAAAAATTCACAAAGGTCCTTATGATCTTCGGGCGGTCAGGGTGGGTTAACCCGTTAATTAATGAGTCTCTGTTTGTTCTCCTTCTCGGCTTGATTTTCTCCCCCACCCTCGGGGTCGTTCGTTTCGGCGATAGGGTTCACAGGCAACGAGCAACGTCAAAGGACGTTAAGTCGGTTCGTGAATAAAAAGTGCATACCTGAGGGTGCAGTGAGATGCATCTGAAGAACGCCGCGAAGACTGTACTCGAGGCTGACCTCGATTTCTACGTGTTCCAAAAATGTTATTTCATTCCCCGCCGATCGACACTCGTCACCCGCCTGGAATCGTAGCGTCTTCGTATTTCCATAGACCAGCCTCTTGTCGATTCTAAACCGAACACCCATAAATATATATTTCTGGTTCGCGCAACAGACACAATTCTCTTGTTGATCGAACCCGCTTGAAAATTTCCAGGTTCTATATGGACTCACGATGTCGAATAACGTTCCCGACGTGACAGTCGATCGTTTGTTACACGAATAGTTTGCTGATAGTTGCACGGGAATATTTCCAGACACGATGTCGGTACAGTTTTCGAAGGTGGAAAGATAGTACACAGTTTGGGAAGTGAAAGAGCTCGCCAGAGGGAGCCACACAGCTACCTTTTTTGTCGAAAGACCGGCTAACTGACGCGGCTAAGGAACGTACGGAATATCCTCGAGTCGTTCCACTTTCTTTTTTTCGACTGACTTTCTACAGCGACGAATGAGTGGAGTGCTCTCCCCGGTGTGTTGAATTTAACGACGTAAAGTCACCGAGCTTCACGGCGCTTTTTAAAGGAACAAGGACAACTGAAGGGCCACCCACGGGACGCCCTGATTGCAAGAAGCTGAAAGACGTTCTTCAACTTCGAACCACACGTAAAACGTTCCCATCTCCTTCTTCGTGAAGTCAAAAACTCAGGCTTTTGTGAACATGGAGGAGTTGAAGGGGTCGACCAACTTCCTTGAATTTCACAGAAATAGTTTTTCCTGAAGAACTAAAGATTTATCAATGTTCTATTTAGGAAGATGTTATTTGAGTGAAGTTTAAGGAATTTCAGATTGGAATAATTGAAGCTGCCAAAGCTCGATTGGACATTTGCTGTTTAACGCGACGTTTGGTGTAATGTTCGACCGTGGTAATCTAAATGGACCGTGAGCAGTAAATCCTACTTGAGCTGTGTTTGTGTGTAGCGTGTTTGGATAGACGACCTATGTCAATATTATCGATTAACGAACTATCTATGTTGCGTTTCGAAGGCTGATAAATTCTTTGCACGTCCAGGAATTCGTGTAGCCAGTTCTGTATGCAGTTCAATCAACGCGTGTAGGATTCGTCAAAACAGTTCGAATCTACTGTTTTCGAATCTTCACTGACTTACCTGATAGTTTTGTTTCTTCACTATTATTCCTAGTAGGGTACATGTCCCAATTACTGTCAGTGTTCTTAATACTGCTACTTTAATTATTTTACTTAATAAAAAGGTAACATAAAGAATTGTGTACAAAAACTTGTATTATTAAATGAGGACTTAATTGGGAAAAATTGGGACTTCAATCTTTGAGTTGACAGTTATAGGGACACTGAGATTGCTCGCAGATTTTAATCAATTATTAATTAATTCTTCATATTTAATGCATAGAACTACTTTTTTTTAAAGAAAGAGATGTTAAATAATATTATATTCTAACATGAGCTATTTAGGTTGAACAACACGTAAAATGATTTAATCAAGCTACCCTATAATTTTAAAGTAATTGGGACGTCCACCCTGTAACATATATTTCAATTTGTGAAATAAGGGATTCTGTTGTTTAGTCTATCCCCATTTTCCTTAATTTTCTTTCACTCACGTTCCGTCGATGTTCACTTTACAAATGGTCTTCTCCGGCACGGCCGTCCAATTGGAGCTCGCTGTGACCAACGCGTACGCGTTCATAAGTCCGAAGCCGAAACGTGAGTTGAACCAAAATCCGACGGAGTTTCGAAACCATCCTGGATTCTCCCTGAAAGTTGATGCAATTACTGTTGGGTCCTGCTGCTCGTGCGATACGAAGAAATGACCGGCGTAAAATGAAACAGTTCCCCGTCGAACTGCAGAATAATCCCTTCTTTTACGTGCTAGAGGAAACCTATAACTTTCTATTGCAACGGTTAGTTAAACTTCATTCTTCCCTGAACAAAATTTTCCCTTCATACTTTGTGTTGTTGAATCAGAAAGAGTCAAATACTTCGGAAGATCATTGTGTCTCGGTAAAAAAAGAATATCATTGAATCAGTTTCGACGTCGGATGAAAGCAATGTTCGCTGTTTTTGATTGAGATCCTGGACACAATCGCGCAATCGGGCTAGTGAATTGGATCTATCGTTTGGTTCCTGATATCATGAATGAAGCTAGAGATTCGACAAAAAATCCGATTGCTGGTATCAGACCCTTAATACGATTTTTCATTGAACTAAACGGAGTAGAGTAAATCCTCAATGAGTGTTCGAAGACTTCTTGACAAGGAAAGTGATAGAGCCTGCAATTCTGAAGTTAATATTTGTTTCAATCGCATGTGGCTAATAGTTAGATTTACTGTATAAGTCTCGTGAAGCGGCAGTTCAGGTTTGAAAAGTCCTCAAGGCTCTAGTATTCTGTACTAATTAAATTATTTCATTTGTTCAGAAAAAAGTTTTGTCATGGAATGTTTATAATAATGGAACAATTTTATAATTCTTATAATTCTTTAACCTCGCAATATCCGCGGGAAGGCAAGCAATGGGACACGATAAAAGAACGAAAGGAGAAACAAAAGAGGAGAAAAGATCATTCTTTGTCACCCAGTTGTGACCCTGGTCTCTGACGGAAGAGCAAGGGCGGGACGGGTATTATTTTTACTGGGTAAAGATTCTCACTTCCTGTTCGTTTCACCTCAATTACTGTTCCTCGTTGAAACGACACGACCTACATTCCCCTTCGGTCGCGGACCGAATAAAGCCGACACGATGCTTTAATTCAGCGTGATTCGCGATGCCCAACGAGAAGAATACGATCGACTCGTGCCCCTGTCTCGCGAAAGGGAGAGAGAACTGTCCCGTCCGTATCGTTGAACGGCTGGAAAAGTTTTGCTCACGACGACAATCTGTCAGAACGACGCGATGGGACTTCATGGATCTCTTCGATTGAACGGGCGGACATTGTCCCGTGCGATCGATGTTACACAGCGAAACTGGTACATATTCGGGTCAAGTATTTTAAAATAGCTACGTGTAAAATAATTAAGATTCACCAGTAGTATCGTACTGTAGATGATCAGACACATTCGAGAAAGTTGAAATAAATAAAGATATTTGCAGAAAGTGTGAGTTAATGATCTTGCATTTGATTTAAAAATGCAGCAAAATGTGTTTTGAAGGTGAAGATCTCCCCTTCAAACAAGGTTAATGTTATTAAAAAATTATTCATAATTGTAGAAAATTCTTGAACTTTCAACAATTTTAATAAGCTTCTTTCGACACGCCTAATAGGAAGATTACGATTAAGGATTTCATTATGTATAAGTGGAACGAAAACTTCATGTTGTCATGGCAAAGTTTGCACGATAATTTATTGATGTTTTGAATAAGTTGTTGCCTCACCTGAGAGGGCTGCACTCCGAGGTCCAAACAATGAGATGTTGTACGTCCCTCCAGGTCAGCTGTTTGCTTTAAGAACAACAATCTAAATTATTCCAACATCCTACCTCGTAACAAAATGTTTACTTTATTTCAATGCTATGAGTCCCCCCTTGCTGCTGGATATTTCACAATCACGAATGAACACTGTAAAAGAGCAGAAGTTGGAGGGAACCAGTGGTCGGTCCCCTAATAACTTAAAACAACTTCGACGAAACGGCGTTACTTCGAAAGTTGTGCAATCTCGTGCGTAGGAGATACTGCTCGTCGAAAATACTCTCTACAGCGGATAAGTTTTTAATCCAGTCTTATGGTAATTCCGTACAGTGGTGGATTTATCTTTGAAAGCGTTCTATCTGTCGACAACTCCAGATTTCCGGTGGCAACGTTTCCACGAATAAAAAGTACTTCGGCGAAAGGGAGTTGGTAACAAGCAACCCATGACATTGCAATCGTTAATTTCTCTTTCTTCTTCTCGAGATATAAAATTCCCGGAGTTTCTAAAACTACTTCGAATTGCACAGTAATTATGCTCAATTCGAGTAGAATTCAGCCGCGTTGCAGATAAGTACTCTTCTTTTAAAGTGCAAGAATAGTTGAATCTTCTTTCAAATTCCAAGAACTTTGTTGAAAGGATCATGATAATTCAGTGAGAGAAGTTTCGAGACAAAGATTGAATCATTTCAAGGCAGGATTCGTACTTTACTTGAAGGGCCAGCGCCAGAATTCCCGCGGCTAATGGAGCGGACGCTGAGGTCCCGGTGTGCCTCGTCGTGCAGGTGTTTCTCAAGTCCGTTGTCGCCTGGAAAGACAAGAATGGAATTCATTAAATTAGAATTCATTAAATTAATTAGAATTCATTAACTTCTCTGAACTACCAACGTCATCAAATTTGGGCACAATCTTCTTCGAATAATGTACAGGGTGTTCGACGTAACGTGAGCACCTTTAATATCTGACTTGCCTCTGATTTGCAGAAAATTTATTTTAATAAATGCTGAAAGTGATGTCCATGAACTTCGATACATTATTGCACTAATCTGTCTGTCGTAGTTATTTTATATTAAAGTTCATTGGATTGGTCTTAATCTCAACTTTCAATTCAACGTTTAATTCATTAAAAGTGGCTAAGTTCTTTTTGAAATCTTTTATCCGTCAGTCGAAGCTCTTTATCTAGATTCATTCGCCCATCTCTGGTTAAGACGATATAGTAAAGTGCACTTTAAGTACAGGATTCGGTTTATTTCGCACTCTGAAAGATACTTCACATTTGAATCTACATATCTTAGATATTGAAACAGCCACTAACTATCATCTGATCGTGATAAGCACCGCTGCTATACGTCGTCGCCATTGTCGCCGCGCAGCTTTCCCCGTACCAAGGGAATCTTCCGGTCTGGCTGGCCGATCCAACGGCGATCGTATAAATGCTCCCCACGTATCCGTCGCATCCGCAGTCGTCCGATTTCGAGCCTCCGTTTCCGGAAGCCCACACGTAAATGCTCCCTCGTCCTTCCCTGCCCTGGAACAGTCGATCGATGAAATCGAACCTGTCGTCGTATCGCGACAGCGGGCATAATCATTAACTTTTCACGGATATTCTCACGATGCATCCGGCTAAACAACGTCGCATCAAGCCCATGATAAATATGCACCCACGGTATAAATATGCAGCGAACTGCTCCTCGACCTTTTCGCGCGATTTATTCTTCATCCATATGTAATTTTTCGCAGATACGCTGGAAACTTTAACGTCGAGCCCGCGGAACGATTTATGCTGCTCATTGACTTACATGATATTATAAACTCAATCATCTCGGGGTAATAATTTCGGTCGACAATACGGTTTAGAAAAATCTTTACTTCTGACTTTTTTTTCTTTTTGAAGCCATTTACCGATATGTATGTATAAAATAAGTCCTGATTTACCAACGCACAGACCAAACCGCTGAACCTATTATAGAAACATGAAATTTTTGAGGTAACTTCTTCTTTGGATGGGGCATCCATTAAGAAAGGATTTTTCGAAATTGAACTCCTAATAGAAAAGGGGTGAAATGTATTTTCTGGGAATATTCACTATCTCTTAGTCCCGATGAGATATACCACTGCTTTTTACTTTAATATGCTCCTTGTAGAAGTGCCCGGAAAGTAATTTCAGGATATTTTGAAATTCCATCTCCAGGGGGCGAAAAGGTGTCCGAACGAACTGTGATGAATATACTAATATAATATATATCCTGTATTTTTTACATTTTCTATTTTACAGTTTAAATACAAAATGTTGTTTATAGTTAGTCTTTAAATATTTACCACGGTTATTCCACGTTCGAGGGCCTCTGCAGCCAGTCGCCCAGGTGCTTCTAGACTTTTTCCATCGTCTGCAGGTCCCCAAGAGGCGGTGTAAATGTCCACAGCTTCCGGTTTATATCCAAGCGCCTCTCCCTCGACGCGATCGTTCACCAGTCCGTCGAGTAGCTTGATGCCCCCGATGGAGGCCTCGAAGGCGACGCCTACGCCACATTTCCCGTTGTTGGCCTCCATCGCTATTTCCCCAGCGCATCTTGTTCCGTGGCCGTTCATTTCTGAGGATTGTAAATCGATCAAAAAATTTTTCTTTAATTTATATAAATTCAGAACAGCTTAACTACTAGATTTACTATTCAATATTTACCAGATAATTCGTATCGTGGAAGAGGATCGTCGTCACCCTCGTTCACGTCGTAACTGATGTATGGATCCTGGATTATTAAATTGAGAAGAAAATAGTGAACAGTATTAATAGATTATTTTAAAGGACCACCGAAGGGTTGACTCGAATCAACTTCTGCTGTCCTCTGCCAGGTGAACGGGGTAGTTCGAAGCAAAATTTTCCAGGACTCACGTAGTTGTTCCGTAGATCGTCGTGTGTGTACTCCAATCCGTCGTCCAAAACAGCGATCCTCACGCCGCGACCACTTACCCCCAGTCGATAGAGGGGTAGAACGTTCAAGTCGAGCTTCGGGAGCGCTTTGTTCGATCTCGTGTCTTGCTGCAGCAGTTGATAAAGTAAACCTTATCATAGTAGGATACAAATGGACCAACTGTTGGACAGTTTACCATCAGTTGTTCCAAAATATTGATTTCTACACATACTTATAGAGACGTATGTTTAGAATATTATCTTATTCCCCCTTTTAAGTATATTATAAATAACAATTATATTACCAGGTACCATTCTTGACTCCATAGTTCATCGTTAAACATCAGACTAGGATCTTCAGGGTCGTAGGTGAACAATTCATCGAATTCTTTGTTGTTTTCTATATTATTTAATCGATACTGATCCAATTCAAGCCTCTTCTCCCTTATCAGAGGTTTTTCCGATTCGAAGTTAGTCAGTGGCACGTAATCACGTTTATGTCGTTCTATCACCCTCTGTTGGTCCGCCCAAATGATCTTTCGGAAAGTAGAATCGTGAAATTCCTCTGTAGTTTAATATTAACTAAACGAAAATAATTACCTTAGCGCTCGAGTTCAACGCCTTCGTTAAACGAAGCCCTCCCCTTTTCTTCTGACTCGATCTCCCGTTCTTAAGCCACACATACGTATCCTTGAATCCCAGTACCTGTGTCAACAAACACGCCAGAGGTATATCGTAGCTGCAATATCCAACCCTAAAGTCACCGTCCCCGCGGTGTTTACAATAGGTACAATCGCGCAACGCAAATATTGCTCGACCAAGATTTTAATTAACACAGAACTAATATTTCGCCCTGCGACATTGAATTCCGTCCGACCCATATTGTTACCGTTTTCGACGTTTACCCGATCTACAAATAATTAAGGAACTTCATTTGGTAATTAAAATATACAATGGAAATTGGGAAATATTCAGAGACTCCAACGTGAAAAGTTTCGAGAAACGTACTAGAGTTCAAATACATTCTACCCCCGATTGTTATGGGGTTCGTTTCACCCCTTAAAAGCGAGCGTCCAGCGTCGAGGGTGAGGCATCACGACGCCATCGTTTCAACCCTTCAAATGATCGGAAGGGACGCTTCGATCAGGAGAACACGAAGAGACAGTTAGTGTTCCAACGTCGACACACATGTGGAGTAAGAGAGGGAAAGGAAGTGTAAGAGAGACAGCCTTTTGGGGGACCATCGAATGTCTAAAATGGAGTATCGTAACGTTATTATTATCCGGCGCCACGTGGCTGCGGCGTTTTTGTATGACGTTCGCATGTGTTGCTGTTCTATGAGTGGTGGGGGGGCACCTGGTACGGAGTCACTCATGGGTGAAGCCACAGTATTTCCGTAACGACCGGCCCCTCCGTCTTTCATTTCGATCCACCTCCTCGTGCCACTCGGATTTTCTGACTGGCCTGCTCCTGGTAGTTTATCGATCCAAGTAGCCAGATTGACGATTGTGCTAGTGTGCGAGACGATGGGTAGGGACATATGGGAGTACGTGGACGGGCAGTGGGGAATCGCAGGTGTGAAGTGAGAATTTAATCAGTTGTCTTTTGGAAACTCAACGTTTGCTTTCGTACTTCTTTAACTTCAGTGACAGGTGAGTTACTATAATTTTATTTTTATTATATTTTCGTCGAACTAATTATTTTGAGAACAAATTCCTCTTGTATTACGGTATTCTTAAACTGGTACATAAAAATCGATATTTGCATAAACATCCGCAGTCTAATTATTATATTATAGACTTTTAGTGATTTCGTCTACATAAAATTACTCGTACACTTTGAAATTGGTTAAGTGAAACACGAGTGTACTATCAATGGTCTACTAGTTTTTTCCGATACGAGCATTAATTATATATGTTACTCCATGAATTACGAGCATCGTGTAAAATGGAACACGCCTGTTTGTGCAATCCGATGCAGATCTCCTCTCCCGTCCACGTAACCTCATATCCCGTTCTATCCCCTTGGATCAATTCCACATTTGCTCCTGTACATATCCATGTTACGAGTAACAACAAAAATCGTTTAGTGGTCCTTGTAAAATCTACTTTTTATAGGCGCAGCTGCATTAGCAATATAACCCACCGGAAATATCTCGTCTTACTGTTTCAATCGTTTGAATTTATAACATAACATACGATTATTGAAATTTTTATGTTGGCAATTCTCCCTTGACGCCCACTTCCCCTTAAGCGGTTCGAAACATTTTTTTTTTACATTCAAATAAATAAAATAAAATGTTTCAATATTCGTGCAGCGTGGCAAATTGTAGGTAGCGCTAATCGTGTTGATCCAAAATTGCATTGTACATACAGTACTCACGATATCTCGATGTAGAGTAGTGCGAAATGAAAATTTCAAAATGATTATTGAATGTTACTCCAACGTATATTGCATGACCTATCATCAAGTCAAAAAAATAAAATTGTTGCAATTGGTATAAGTTTTAACAAAGACATGCAAAAAAAGGAGGAAATTTTATGTATATTATTGTGAATAACGAAAGAAATTCACAATAACCGAAGACTGATTAATTACAAAAAGAATGCCACAAGAATATTTCAAATCGGTTAATAACTATCTAGATCGACACGATTAGCGCCACACACAAATGCAGGAATATTGAAACAAACATTTCTTTTATTTACCTGAATGTATAATGAATAAGAGCCAGGAATCTATTTACCATATGTTCCTTGCTTTCTTTAAGAACAATATCCAAAGTGTCACCATTTTTTCAACCGCTTAAGGGGAAAGCGGCATCAAACCCAACCCAAGTGTCCTTTCTTTTCTTCAAGGTTTCTTTTACAGGTCGACACGTTTCTACGTTAATTAAGAGACGAAAACACATTCTGATGCATTCTCATTGGCAGGGGCGCGATAACGCTCGACTGAAATCACGACCGATTTAATCGTTCGGGGAAACTGGGCAGAGCGTGGGATGACCGATCGCGATGCTCACTCGATATTACGAGGGTGGTGGTGGTGGTGGGATATCGCGTGGCCGTGCGATAGGCTCAAGAGTGACCTCAATTTTCGTGGAATCACATCAACGCGGAAAACAAAGGCCGGAGAAATCCGTGGCGGCCGTTATGAAACAATAATCCCGCATCTGCCGTTTCCTCCCGTTCGCTCTCGCGAAACAAAAACCCTATAATCCGGTACCCATTATATTTGCAATGTATTCAGCCAGAGGGAATGAATTCGATCGGCGCGCCGTCGAACCGAACGATAAACGACTGGAATATCCTCTCTTCCCGCGTGGATACACGACCTTTTCTGCCTCTCCTCCCGCCCCCTCCATTTTTTGCTATTTCGTTTTTCCGTTCTGATTCCCCTCCCATCGACTATTTTTTGTTCTTCTCTCTTTTTGGCTCAGTTTCGACAAACGATCGATGGACGGACGCGCGAACGATCGCGTGTTAGCACTGGATCGATGTTATCAATGCTTCAGCCCTCGCGCAGGAAGTCGATCGTGCGATTTACATCCGATATGTAAAAAGATTTATGGCACCGGTATTGTCCACCAATCTGACACGGTTGAAACGGGAAGATTTGTATTCTTTTCATTCTAATACCGGACAGTATGTATCGGATCATTATTCTAGAGTTTATTTATCCCCATTTTGATTATTTAGATCCTTATACATTGATAGGTATTGTTAGAAATGAGCAAGTGAAGGAGAAATACATTATTGAAATTGTCAATAAAAAACTATTTTCTCACGGGTACAAGTATATAAGATTATTTCGTGAATCGATGTGAACATGATACTGAAGGATTCGGAGTACTATTGCTTCGATTGTCGATTTGTCGGTATTGTGTTAGGGCCTTTAGCAAATCAGGCGGTCAGGCAATGATACTTGCAACGTCAGAAAATAGAGCATATTGCAGGATTCAGCGTCTTCCCTCTTTCCACACATTCCCACGATTGCGTTCCGTATGTGGAGGGGACCCTCTCAATTTAATTTCCCATCAAAGTCAACTCTTCCGCCGCGAGGAACCATCGTATGGTACGTGGCACGTTCGGTGGTGCTCGCCTTAAATTCCACGCGGGAACACTTGAAACTCGAATCCGTCTGTTACGTGATAATGGCTCCATTCCCTCCGTCCCCGTGGCAATCGACGTTCCACACTGTCCAAAACTACCCTCGAGACGGGCCCTCCCCTCCTTCCCCTGTTTGTTAACCGTGTGTAGCCTCCCACCTCTCGTAACGTACGTGAGAACGACGAGGGGTTTCCAGATAGGGAGTGCGAGAAATCACCGACGCTCATTACTTCGCGATCAACGATTCGTCTTATCAGCACAGAATTGCCGCACGATCCTCTCACCTGAGGGAAAGTCTACTCAACGGGGGAGCTGTCTGGGACGGTTTGGGAAGACAGGGAGGAACCAGAGAGAGAGGGGGGAGTATTTTCGCAGTCCATTTGTTTTGATCGGATTTCCAACTGTCTCTGGTAATCCAGCGGGTGTAAGCTCCCGCAGGCGTCGTCAGATTCCAATGAAAATCCTAACGTCTCTGTTCTCTGCGGAACAGAGACCTTTCCACGTATTCGTGCCTGGGCCACACCTAGTCTACACTCATTTCTGAATAGTAGTATTCATTGGTACAGGTGAAAATATTGTTTATCCCTGCTGGTCGGGATCAGAATATACCAGCAGTATCCCCTGCTTGTCGTAAGAGGCGACTAAAAGGGGGAATTTCGCGGGACGTCATTCCACCTCAATCCAGAGGTGGAACGGCGTCAAACTAACCGGGGATGTTGTGGGTTAGGATGGAGGGTTTAAAAAAAAATTATGAAAGTATTGTTTACTTCAATGATATGTTTTACTAGTCCCGTTTCAAAAAATATTGATGGCCTAGAAAATTCGAGAAATATGACCTTGATAAATATGTTTGCTTATCATAGTATTTGCTCCTTCAAATCAAATAATACTTTCCCCGCATATTATTTTGTATCTTCGAAAACAAATGAGGTATTGAAGGTGCTCACGTCAAATGAAACACCCTGTATAACGATACGCTTTTGTGGCGTGCAAGTAGGGCTTATACGGTTATAGGTTTGTAATTGTAATTATAGGCTTATGCCTTCGTTCCTCTGTCTGAGGATCCATTTTCTCCTTGAGATGATCCTCCAGTCAGATCCAATTTTTACGACCACCAATCGCGTAACCGCAAGTACGCTTTACATTATTTACCCTGACGCATTTCTGGATCCGTTTCCATCCGGAATATTGTTTCCTCGGCGCATCTGCATAAGCAACTCCGTCATTATATTTCAGCAGCGTAGCTAGTGCGTGGATCGACGTGTAAACGACCCGACTGAAACGCAAGATCTCGTTGCTTCGAAAGGATCTCCTCGTATACCACGAACCCCCGCGACCCTTTGGATAGGACGAAACTTCCTCGTTGAATTCAATGTATGTAATTGAATTCACAGTCCGCAAGTGGCAAGACCGCGTAATCTCGGGAGCAGCACGCACGTCGCTCGGTGCTCGGCGAATCGTTTCCAGCCCGGGTACCGCAACGACGTTAAACGATACACAAGCGATTATCGCTACGGGGAGCCTAATGACGCGAGCTCCGCGCAGTTTCCACGAGATTTGCGGAATTTCCTCTGGCGTTCGTGAGAGACACGTTTT